GACATCACCACAAACCGACAGGGCCAAACTCAGAATAACCGACCACGCCATCGTCGCAACTAGGGTTCGTCGAGACCCGACCTTGTTGTCGCCGAATTGCCATCCATCAGCACGACTTAGTCACGGCCGACCTCCGAAGCAGCCGATTTCACCTCTCTTGATATCGCAATCGATGAGTCTCCGATTTGTCTCCTACCGACCTCGGGTATAATTCCCGATCTCGTATCTACGACCCGATTTCGCCATCACTGATTTTCTGTCAAGGTCTAATCTCAACACCGTCGAACCCCAAATTTCGACAAGAATCCGACATCAGTATCAAAATCTTGGCTAAATCATCAGATCATATGCCAACAGATTTGAAGGATTTTTCTCTTCGTCGGATTTTACGAGAAAGAGGAAAGTGAAATGAATGGATAACTGTACATATACTAATAAAACCTTATGGGCCAGAAGAGTTTGGGCCGTTGATAAAATTAAAAGTTGGGCCAACAAGAGTTAAGATCAAAACTGAAGGCCAAGAAGACACTTGATCGGGCACTCCTTATATTAATCGACTCACTCTAATATACGGCCGAATTATTGACTAATCTCCACCTCGGTCTGAGGTTCACTACAAATATTTTTCGATGAATCTCCCAACTTGAAACCGGGCTAACCACCTCCTCGTCCTAATCACTTTACTGTATAGACAACCATCTGCAGCCCGAAGTGATTGACCACAATCAAGATGTACACATTACCACTCAATATGCCGAACGCTGCAAGCAAATAATTATTCAAAACCACCTGACGTATCAACGCCGGGGCCGAGTTCATTTATCAATGTCGGGGCCGACTTTATCTGTGCCAGAACCAAAATCACAACACTGAAAAAATATCCCCGCTTATTCGTTTACGTTGGTACCGAGCTCATCATCTTCAAACCGACCTTACCTCGTCAGGACCTCGACATTAGCAACCTCATGTCACTGTCGGGCTTCCACTTCAACCGAGTCGGGTTGAGCCACAACAAATCGATGTGCTTGTCTCCAATCTCAACTCAGAGCCAACATCAAGCCGACGCGGTCAACATCAAATCGTCCCCAATCTCGCGAAACCGACAGAAAAACCTCACTATAGCCGATCGCCAGACCGATGTACTCATTAATGACTTCACCATCTGATGACGAACCCAGCTCTCCCATATCGATATATAATTTGTTCGCAGTCAAGCTCAGTCCCACAGAACCAATTTATCGATCGCTCGCCAGGGCCGAATTCATTTATCGACACTGGGGCCGAATTCATTCATTTATGCCCAAACCGACGTCTTCATTTTTCTCGCCGTTGAGCCTCGACTTTGGCTGAGCTGACATATGCATTTTCTCGCTGTTGAGCCTCGACCCTGGCTGAGCTGAGGTCGATATATTTTCTCGCCGTAGAGCCTCGACTCCGGCTGAGCCGACGTCGATACATTTTCTCGCTGTAGAGCCTCGACTCCGGTTGGGTTGACGTCGATACATTTTCTCGCCGTAGAGCCTCGACTCCGGCTGAGCCGACGTCGATACATTTTCTTGCCGTTGAGCCTCTACTCCGACTGAGCTGACATCTACATTTTCCTCGTCGTTGAGCTCCGACTCCGGCTGATACGACGTCCACTATTTCTCGCTGTAGAGCCTCGACTCCGGCTGAGCTGACGTCGATACATTTTTCCGCTGTCGAGCCTCTGCTCCGGCTACTAAAAAAAAAATAAAATCCGAGCATTAAAGGTCTCGGTACTCTACATCATATCAGAACATTAAAGGTGTGGGTACTGTGACAATCTCTTAATAATCCAGGTCCAACAATGATTTGGTCGGACACAAATAATGCCGATTTTCCAGACTATGACATCGGACCCACAAAAAGGACTCAGACTCGACGAAATATCGAGGTAACATCGTTTACCGTGCATTAATTATTTATCGCACGTGCTCATTATATATTCATGCATTCAGACATGCGTTTATCACATACGCGCGTCATGCATACATTTTGACATAAGATTTCTGTTCTAAACCCTGAAATTGGTTTGGCACGGCTAACGCCCTACAAATTACATCAGAAATCGGGAACACACTGCCCGACCAAGAAATAATTAAATAAAAATTAGACCAGCGACCGAATACTGTATTATCCGACCAGGTCCACATTATGAAGAAAAATAATAACAAATCAAACAAAAAATCGCGTCTCATCTATACGACAAAATCGTGAACCCGGTAAACAATTTCGGGAGCCCCGGTACCCACGCAAATTCATATCATTATTACCATTACAGAAGCAAATCCATCAGACGCTTCACATTTGACACAAAAACGCGAAAGACGGGTACCAAATTACCCAAATTAGACCATTCAGGCCCCATTCACATAGCAATTTCAAAAGAGTCAACTATCCACGCAGTCAACTCAATTTATCAGAATAAAGAACACGATTAACGTCAATACGCCAGGTCAAAACCTGAAAACGATTAACCAAACGTTTACGGGTCCCAAAGTACCCGGCCAACATCGATACATTATTTATCACAGCCAAAATTCATTATACATGTGACTTCAGAACAGTTCTATTTAGATAATGTCCTAAAGTCAGGGGCCTCTCTGTTGACATCAAATTTTGGCCTCGCCTATTGAAATAATACACGTAGATATATATATATATATATATATATATATATATATATATATATATATATTAAATAAATATAAAAATAGCAGGTTATTCGATATATTTATTAATATTAAATGAGTCCCCAAAAATCAAGATTGTCCGTATTCGAGCCAAGCAGAATTCAACGTCATCAGCCCAACCCGGATATCATAAAAAAAAACCACCCCGAGCCGCCCCGACAAACACAATAATTGCCGACAAGACAAATATCAATCGAAGTCGTTATTTATTTATGGGATAATTACACTTTGCCTACCTAACTATCCGGAAATTTACACTTTGCCTACAAACTTTGTTTTCTTACACTTAGCCTACCTAACTTTGTATTTTTTGTACATTTTGCCATTTCCGGTCACCGCCGGCCTCATAATCCAACACGTGGCTTTTGTGTCTGATTGTCACGTGTGACCGGGAATGACCGGAAATGGCAAAGTGTACAAAAAAACAAAATTAGGTAGGTTAAGTGTAAAAAAAAAAAAAGTTTTGTAGGCAAAGTGTAAATTTCCGGATAGTTAGGTAGGCAATGTGTAATTATCCCTTTATTTATTATTATTGTTGGGCCCTGCGCAGTCTCATTTTGATTTATTACATTGGTATTTGTAAAATATTGTAAAAGCCAAACATATAAGGGTCCATTAGACGAATATATATAGATCCCCAATGATGGACATTATCAGATAAGTCTGGGGGGCTTTACTTTTTCTTTTTCTCTCTGAACTTTTTCTTTTCCTTCTTCCTAAGAAAACAAAACGGAGATTCATGTTCTTGATTTCCCTTCAATCTTTCTTGATTTATTTACAGAAAATACACAAAATATTCAATATGTACACACAACTCTGAACCCCCCATGTTGTTACAAAATCATACGACTACAATACCCTTGACAGTTCTTAGAAATGAGTGAAAAAAGTGTTTCACCAATCTATCGCAACAATGTTTTTCTATTTAACCAAGATTTCCCGATCTCCAATTCCTAAGGTTGGAAAACCGCTAAGATTTTTCTTATGTGGATTTTAATACGCACATTCCCCTAATTAATTTGTATATTTGATCTCAGTTAAATTCCTTTAGTAAGCAGGTCCGCTAGGTTTTGCTTTAACTTCACGTAGTCAACCGAAATAACTTAACTCGAGATAAGATCATTTGCCTTATGAGATTGTACCATTGCACAAACTAATCTATGCTCTTCCAATGCATATTGATTATCACTATATATCATTATGGTGAGAATCGAGTTATTCCAACACGAAATATCCTTAATATAATTTTTAAGTCATTTAACTTTTCTAAGACTGTCCAATATAAAAACTCGGAAATCATCACTTGTGCATAGATAATTTCCACAACATCGCTACTCCACCTATCGTAAACCCATTTGTGGACTTTGAGTCTTTTGTGACCACTATCAAAATCATATATAACACTCTTCAAATACCAGAGTATCTCGTATAAAATTAGGCATGTTTTTAATACATAAATAATTCAATGCCTTTTTATATTTGTCGCTCATATTATTCATGATCCTAACAAGTTTACTCATCGAATAAGCTATATCGAAACGTGTACAATTCATCAAGTACATAACTTCCCAATTACTCGTTTCACCTCAGTTTCTACTTAAATGTTGAACCAACAGGTGCCTTACTTAGAGACTTGTCGAATGTAGTGAACCTCTTCAATATACTTTCAAGTTTCAACATAATGGAAATGTGATAGTTCATTTTGCTCCCAACTCTTTAGAGATTTTAATTCCAAAATCTCATCGGCTTTCCGCAAGAGCATCGAGTGAATGAATGCAATATTTTTGCCTTTTTCCTGATCAAATTAGTATGTACCACGTGCGATGCGCAAACTATATTTATTTTGGGGAATACTATAATTTGAAGTATATTAATAAATAAAGAAATAGTGATAATACATAAGGAAATTGTCAAATCATAAAATAATTCACATTAAAAAATAATATATTATTAAAAATCTAATTGTACACAATATTATTAGTTTGATTACTAGACAATTCGTCGTTCCCACAAACTAATATTTTCAACCGATTTATTATTATTTACATGCTAAACAACAACATACAATTGGCATGACTAAAAATCGATTTCTCTAAAAACATGTTATCGTAAGATAAATACTTAGATTTTGTTGTAAAGACTTTTCTAAAATTACTATAAAGAGGGTGTAATTAATATATGGCAGGAAAAGTTTACTAAAAAGTGAATTATTTTAATTCTTATTATATATATTGATTTCGAGAGAGATAAAGATAGAGACTATAGATACAGTTGTATGCACATAAAAATAAACGAAATCAATGCCATAAAAACAACTGCAACATAGCTGAAAAATATAATGCACTATATTAGCAAATATAGCCAGAAAGAACAATCCCACAATCATCAACAAAGCAAACACTTGAAAAGAACCACCACACTTAGGTCTGTTCCTTGTTCTATCATCCCATCAGCAAGAACCCCCACCATTTACCACAAATCAACAACTACCTACCGGTTTTCTTTCTCCAAACAAATAAAACATGAAAAATAAAAAGCAACTTAAGAAAAGACGGTGAAAAAAAAAAATCAGGCTTTTCTTGTCCTCCTAACTCCCACTTTCCTCTCAGAAAGCCCCACAGACATTGGCACCGGCAAAGGCTGCGGAGGCTTCTTATTCATCACCTTGTTCGAACTGCTCCTCAGCGAGTACCTCGGAGTACGAGCCTCCCTCCTTTCGGCCAATGGCGTGGCGCCAGCTGTAGCCACAGCAGCCACTGCCTTCCTACGGCTGTCAAACTTTCCCGACTCCCTTTTTTTGGCCGACTCAACCCTAACACCAAGGTCGTAACACGGCTTTTTCTCGTACTCAATTTCACCTTTCTTATGCTTTAGCCTCTCGTTCCTCCTTGCTGAGTACTCATCATAGAATCGGCCCCTTTCGAACAGAGGGCTCCTCCTTTGGGGTTCCATCAGAACACTACTATCAACATTGGCCACTGTGGGGCCACCGAGTTCTTGGTGCACCATTTTTGCAAGAGCCCGTAATTCAGATGAGATGGTGTGGTACTCGGGACAGAGGTCGGGACTTTGGATGTCCTGTGTGTACTTGGGCAGCTGGGATTTTGTCAATGAGCCTGATTTTGCAACAAATTTCATAAAGAAAGAGGTAGAATGATATTTATCACATAATCAAAAGAAACTAAAATTTTAGTATTTTTCGGAATTCCAGTAGCACAAGCCTGTTTACATTACCAAGCTTAAGGAGAATAAAAATATCGAATCAAAGTGAAGAGAAGAACGGTAGGAAACCAAAATAAAGCTTGATTATTTATTTATCTATTTGACATCTCAACTGTGGTTTTGTAATGACTACCTTTTGTAATATCAATTCAAGATTAGCAAATTTACGTAGGAGGAAAAAAAGGACAGAATCATACAAAATCAAGAATCTCAGCCATTTTGATCCTATTTTATTTCTGTTTGTTATCAACTAAAACTGATAATCCTATCAAACAGAGGGTCCTAGAAAGTAACAGTTAGCCGACAGTCTTACATATCAAGTTCAACAAATTTGCAAACCAGAGTCAGTGAAAAGATAAAATCATACAAAACCAAGAAGAGAACTTTAACATTAGACCCGGTTTTATGCTAGTTGATCACTCTTTCCAATCAATAAAAGAAAATATCTAATCACGGGGAGAGAAGATACACTGCACACATACAAAATTGGTCTCAAGGAGTTCACAGGAGTTTTTGCAACAAAAAAATTGCCCTGTTTTCCCCATCAACTTTGAAAAACTGCAGACTAGAATCCACAAATTACAAAAAAACCGTACAAAGCAGAAAAGATACACATTTTCACGCCATTAAATTACTTCTGTGCTCAGCTAAAGCGTATAACATCTGATGCCTCATAACACACAAGGAGAAGCCTTAGGCGCACACACAAAAAAACACAAACAAAATCACATACAAAATGCAGATAAATAAATAAACCTGGTGGGGTGCGAGCAGGATTATTGTTGATGGGCTGAAGAGCTTGGCGGCGGGGACGAAGGCGTATGGGAGATCTTGGGAGAGGCGGCTTACCATTTGATCTCAACATCATCCTTGACATCTTTCTACCGAACTGCGAATATCAATCTCAAAGGAGAAAATGGCTTGATTTGATTATGGAAAGATTTTTGTGGGGAAAAAGTACAAGAGAGGCGGAGAGAAATTTAGAAATGGAAGTTGTTGGAAGAGTAGGGTTTATTTCTTTGTCTGTTTCTGGCTTTTTATGTGATTTGAATTGCCAATTGGGTGGGAGCGTCTTTTAACGGTCATTTTTTTTAATCCGACGGCCGTAAATGATTTATTTGAAATGGGAAATGTGGAAGTGATTGTGATATTTCATTCTGATACGGGATTTATTACCAAATTAGAACGCAAATTATGTTAGAATATTTCACGACTCCTAATTTATTTCCTTACCGAATATATATCTTTTGAGTTGAACGGTATGATAGTGTGATTGAATTTTATTTTATTCCATGCATCAGGTTGAATTGAAAATTAATTTCTTACTTATTATGTCAACATAAGGTTGAATCAAGGTGTAAATTCGAATATTAATAAAAGCTAGCACAAATATGGTGCTTATATAATATTCTTAAATAATATATATTTTCCATGTTATATAATATTTCTTATTTAAGTGAAATGTATATTTATATTATTTTAAAGTCATTAAGAAACTTTATTTATTTTCATCTTTAGTATTCTATAATTATTAATCGCTTGTGAACACTGCAAACAAAATATTATAAGTTATATATATGTATGTAATATTTAATGTTATAAATTAGATAATACATATATCATATTAAAAAAATTCACCATTAGCAAAAAAATAAACAATATAAATATAAATTATTTAACTTATATAAGAATCACTATATTGATGGTATAAAATATAATGAATAATGTAACTTTTATAATTTTGATGGAACAAATACAAATAATTAACTGAAAAAAATATTAAAATAATTGATATTGTTACTATAGCAGTTGTATGTGATTTTAAAATGTTTGGTTATACAATAATTAAAACCAATTATCTAATTTTCAAGAAAAATTGCTGAATTAGATGAAAAAAGTAGGGCTCAGCATGGGACTCGGAGAATTCCGAACCGTACCGAAAACCGAACCGAAAAATATATGTTGACCGTTTGACTTTCTCCGAACCGAACCGAACCGAAAAAATAATTGGTACGGTTCTGGAGATTTCATAAATATCCGCACCGAGAACCAAACCGAACCGTACCGTACCGAAGAACCGAAATTAAGAACCGAATTATAAAAATAGATGTGTGTTATTAATATATTTTATGTCAACTTTGATCCAATATAATTTGAGAATTTTTAAAATACAAATAAAATATAGTAATAACAACTAAGATTCACTTACATTTCATGTTTACTAATACTTGATCTACAATTGGATTTTTCATGTTTAAAAAACAAAATAAATGGAATGAAAGGTTAAAGATTTAAAGAAAAAAATTAAGCTTTACTTAAAGTCGTCGATATTTACCCTTAGTTTATCTTATAACTAATATGCTATGGAATGTTAAATAAATATTACTTTAATATAAAACTGTATTATATTTTATTTGAATTTAAATTTTCAATGTTAGTTGAATTTAGTCTTAACTAAAATTTAGGGTTACTTCTAAAGTTGATTTAAAAATAAAATCTTTAGTATGATGAAGTATTGATGAATGTTGGATTTAAAAAAAAAAACATATAAAAAATAGAATATAATTAGGTGGTCATTCAAAAAAATTTAAACAATGATAAGAAATCTCCGAATATCCGAACCGAACCAAACCGAGCCGAACCGTTCCGATAGTCCCGAAAATCGAACCGAGCCGTACCGAAAAATAAAAATCTCCGAACCGGACCGAACCGATTTTTTTGTACGGTTCTGGAGATCGAATTTTAGTGATCTCCGAACTTCGATTCGGTTCTGGAGATTTATCAATCTCCGAAACCGTACCGACCCATGCTCACCCCTAGAAAAAAGTAACATTAATTTAGAATAAATAGTTTGAAGAAAAAGTTTTGAAATATAATTGTTTAAAAACAAGTAATGTGATATACCATTTAGTGCGAATTAATAGTTAATTAGCAGTAGTAGATATTATATGACAAAATTGTTAAAAATTATAATTTCACATAATTAATGTAAATATAACAGTTTGTTTCTACAATTAACTAGAAAAAAAAAAGGAAAAGGGAAAATTGATGTTTACATTAATGGTGTTAGAATATCACTTGTGAGTTATTCCACATCGTTCATACATAGAAAATAGACCAACTTTATAAGTTTAATGGGCTACTCCTCCTTCCATCAATTGGTTTTGGGATAAAACCCCACTTGGGCTTCATATTGGCTGTCCTCGTTCATGGACGCTTCATGTTTAGTGGGCCTGTACCCGGTTTTCCCCAATTTTCTGTCATAGTATCAGAGCCGGTTCTATTGGTAACCGTGCAATGACGTACCCGTCACCAAGCCTAGTTGGGCTTGGGCTTTCGAATGACTTACAAGTGAGGGGCGTGTTAGAATTTTACTTGTGAGTTGTCCCACATCGTTCATGCATAGAAAATAGACCCACTTTATAGGTTTAATGGGCTACTTCTCCTTCCACCAATTGATTTTGGGATGGAATCCCACTTGAGCTTCATATAGATTTTCCCTGCTTATGGTGCACTTCACGTGTGTGGGACCACACCCGTTTTCTCCCCGTTTCTTATGGAATAGCACTTTTTATATATATAGATTTCTCAATTTTTAATCTTGCAAAACTTTATGTTATAAATATTATAATGTCTTTGTCAATGTAGTAAAAGAAATAATTGTTCAACAAATATCGTCTTAGTTTTTCCTTTCAATGTTACATGACTTTTTTACAGGGTTGTTCACATTCATTTTATATTTATTTTTTTATGTGGAACGAATATAATATAATATTATCATATGGTATATATTATATTTACTTTATACTGATTACATCATCATTTTATTGAAAACTGTAAGAAAATATAATTTGGCATTAATCGAAAATATTATCTATTTATCATATTTGTGTTTCTTGAAATAGGTTTCACAGATTTAATGCTTGAGGAGAAAAGGAAGATCTTTTAATCTTAACTTTTCATTTTTTAGTTATTCTCCTATTGTATATTTGGATTTAATTATCTTCCTTTAGCTTGTAGGTAAAGGAGATATATTAGATTCATTAGGAGCTTTTATATATATTCTCTTTCCTTATTTTGATATTCTCTTATTATATGTTATAGTTGTCTTCTTTTACTTGTAGAAAAAGGAATAACAAAGATGATAAAAAGAAGATATGCTTGTGAGATTTGACAGCTGAAATCTTGTGGAAGAGAGCTGGAAAATCGAGCAAGAAAAGGAAAGCATTCCGTAAGAAGATATTTTTGAAGGTTCGCATGGAAATAATGAAAGAAAGTTCACAGGATTGAAGAGAGAGAGACGCGTTTAAATTTGGAAGATCTGGCAAGAATATTCGTGCATGAAGACTTACAAGGCATGGAGATTTAGTTTCCAAAACTGAACGAGAAGATCGAGTAAATTTGGAAACTACAGATTTCTAATGAACCTGCATACCATATATAGTTTATATATATTAGTTTCACGAGTTCCTGTTGTCAAGGAGACATTCCATTATTCATTCAGAGAGTTTAGATTTATATTCATTGAGAGCTCATGAGTTTTTGATTTTATTTTATTGAGTGATTGGATTCCAACATGTTGGTTCATTGCTGGTAATTCGAGCTGTCAATTTTTGTTTTCTATTCTACTTGGTGCTTGGGACGAGCATCTTCATACTGCTTGGAGGGATCCATACGTGCAGTGTAAGTCCATGCCGTGGCCAGAAAAGTAGTTAGGTAGGTGGAGTACAAAGTAGGTTAGCTTAGAAGGAGTATATGCATGTAAATCCTATTTGTACTTGTTGGTCAAACTTGCTTAATGGAAGAGTTTTGAGGGAGAGTGGGACGCTCTCCTGAAAGTTCGTTTCTAATTATTCGCTTTCGCAAATTTACATGAACGTTCATTGTTTCTAGTATCAGCGTGAATTTGTGTAGTCCCCCGAAATATCAAAAAACAAATCGCATCAATGTTATATTTATAATTAAAAATATATAAAATTGTAGGAAATAGATACATAGAAATTATACATCACAAAAGTGTTTAGGAAAAACCGTACGACAAAAGTGTCATTCGTTGATACATAATTTTTATTTAAAAAAAAAAGAATATAATAGAATGAATTACAATGCATGAAAAAAATGAATTTATAGAATACTAAAGGGATGCTTGGATATAAGATTTTTTTTTTTCATTTTATTTGGACTTTTTGGTTTGGTTAATTTTGAAAAATATGATATTGTTAGTTGTAAGTGAGATTTTGATTTTATATTAAAATAATATTTAAAATAAAATAATTAAAGTTGATTTAATGTAAAAGTAGAAAAGAAATTATATGAAGTGATGGTAAGTTAAAATTATGTAGGTGGATGAATAGTAAATTGAAGTTGATGTAGTGTGAATGATTGATTGATATTGTTTAATTATATTTATAATATTGAGAATAGTGTAGTTGGGTTAAAGTTCAATTAGATTTGAGTTAAAAAATAATTGGTTAAAAATGATTGAAATTTTCTGGGATATTATTAACTAATGACACGGGTTGTGTGGATTGGCAAAATAAGAGATACAGCTACGACTTTTTCACACGGGTCATGTGGCCTCACACAACTCGTGTGACCCGGTCGTGTGAGTCTGGAAGTTTGGCAGAAATTAGAGGAAAGTCACATGACTCGTGTGACATGTAACACGACTCGTGTGACGCGCAGATCAGTTCAGCGGGGAATAGGATTCTTATGCGTTTTCTTCCCTTTTTCGACCCAGAATTGCCCGATAGTATAAAACAAACTTTAGGAACTCGTTTTTGGGACTTTTGACATCATTGGAGGCCTAGAGAAAGCACGAAACACATGAGGGATTCGAGGAAGTCAAGATTGAAGATCCGAGAACTAACGGCAACAATAGTTCTTCTTTCTTTTCTCTTTTTCTTCTTCATTGAACTCATGGATTTATTTATTTTGAGTTTTGAGAATATTTTTAGTAGCTAAACCTTTTAGGGATTCTAGGATTTGCGAGTACTCGGATTATTTTATGAAGTAATTTTATTTATTCATTCCGGTTCATTCGTTTATCAATTTCTTGTGCTTATATGAATTGTGTGAATATAGGGCCCGTATTTGTGCATATTTGTGATTGACTTGAGACCGAGAGGAGATAGTTGATTGCTAGAGTTGGGAAATTCATAA